AGTGCTTATCTACCCAAGCACATGCAGTCAATGATACTCACATGGCGCATAAAATATGGATATCAAATAAAAAAGCAAAATTTTCCTGTGCAGGCGCAAATGTGTTTTCAGGCTCCCTTTGCACAAAATAAAATGCATTGAAGTGGACACAGGGAAAGGGATCCTCGCTAGTGAGGGCACAATATTTATAGGGCTTTTATTAGCTCCACCAGTTGTGATGGAAAAAAAAATACAGAACCACTTTTGGGTATCTTGAGTTCCCTATTGTGCATCACTGCAATAAAGAAAAGTTCCACATTGTTAAAAAATAGCAAATACTGCACCAGTACACAAAGACAGTGATAGGGTACATGTAGCAATATTTTTAACATCACTCTCTAGTAACATACTTCAGCACATCATTTATTCATGCATTGTAACACATTTTCCCCTATTCTTTTCATTCATTTCAACATGGTTCTCATGCAGGGTTTCTATGTACGACCCAACCAAGTGCGTACAAGACAGAGCTACATGTTTTGACAATGTAAAAGTTAATGCCATTATTTTAGGAAAGCATTTGGTGTAGTGTCGCATAATTTTATTATTTTCAACTTATTATTCCTGGGAATTTTAGACTCCTACAATGGCTGAAGAACTATCTGACGGACCACCAACTATGTGTCATCATAAATGATACAGCCTCGTCATCTGGACATGTGCAATCTGCTGTTTCCGAGGGCGCTGTGGTTGGTCCGTTGCCATGTTTACTTTTTTAAGTGATTGTTCACATGCCCCTACATCTACTACAACACTCTATCCTGATAGCTGTGTATTACATCATCTCTTGAAATGTGTTTATTTCACAGATGCATTACAGACCAACCTTGAGGCAGTTTCGTTCACGTGCGATAACCTGCACATCAACTTAAACGTAGGAGTGTTTCAATGTTAAGTTTACCAACAATAAAAATTCAACAGAGAGTGTGCATGTCCCGAGATCAAAATTATTATTTATACTAATCATGTGAAATACCTTGACACCATATTTTTGTCACAATGATAACATTACTGTCATGACTTCCAAGTAGCTACACTTTGACGAAATTTCAAAAATGCACAAATGAATTTGAAAGGAACTTTGGATCGAACATTAAGCTGATTTTAGAATAAACTTGTCAAGCAGAGAAAAAAACGTCATTCTTTACAGAGGCAAAGAAAGACGCTTTGTCCATGGCTCCTCGCTGTCATGCTGCACACAATATTATCAAAGATGTGTCAGCTGAAAGAAAGGCAGGCAACCATTTGAGAACTGGCATTAGCAAGCTTCATATTACTGCTTCAATTGCCCTTTGTGAAATCAGAGGGACTGTTTTATTGAACTAGCGAATAAAAAACATGCTTCCTTTCGCGAAGGTCAAAATATGCTCGCTAGACATTGCCATAAAACAACAATTTGTTATATTGAGAATATGATTACAACAAAGCTTGCTTTAAACAGACCAAACAGAACATATCAAATGTACAATAAACCACAGCGTCAAGTGATAAACTTGCAGGAAAGACAATGTGGCGCATCCCTCAGAGGCCTGACCTCAATTTCACACTTGTCTGATTTTCTTGTTAATCCAGTATATAAGGTGCAACCACACGCAGGTGCATGGGAGGAATACATTTTCAGGTAACCTACATTTAAGACAAGTCAAACCTCTGTCGTCATGGTACAGCTGTAAAATCACGAAAAAGCACTTTTTATTAAACTTTTTATTAAAATAAGAGTTGGTTTTAAGCCATACGCTGTAAAAAATTCAACTGCTAAATCACATAAAAACTGTTTCATGCACCTCGGATGAAACTTCAATCACAAAAATGTGAAAAAAACCCCTCCCTGTGCTTCTGCAACTACGAATGCTCTGGCACTTAAGGGTTTTTTTTAGTTCTTTAAGGGCCTTTATGGTCAGGGGTTTATGTTTTTAGGGGTCTTTTTAGAGTCTGAATGACTACGAGACACATCGATATTCATGTTGTCTTTCCCAGAAAAGGATGCGTAGCAGTGAACACAGGAACAAGGACACACTGCAGTGTAAATGAGCCTGTGACACATGAGGTACTCTTTCGTGTGCGAAGGATGTGTCACAGTGCACACAGGCAAAAAGACACTCTCCAGTGTGGCTTCAATTTATGAGTGAATGCTGCTGTACAAAAGTGGCAGTTGAAGGGGTGCTCTCCAGTATGATGTAAAGGCATAGGAGTACCAGTACCACCGTTCGCACTTTATATGTGTATAATTTTTTTTCTCTCATTCTGTTCACCATGAAATGTTAGACAATTGATAAGTCTATTCAGGAAAGCTTAGTGGCTGAGGGCGCTTTGCAATACACTGCATGTATCACGTGTACGCACATATTCTTGTGCCAGTAAAAATCTTATATAAGAGTTCAGAAGAAAGCTTTCAGCGATGGATTATATGCATGACAATACTACAACAAAAACCTGGTTAGGAACAAGCATGTTTTTTTTTTTCAGACAAAAAATTACCACTGTGTGCCTTCTGTGGGTCACTAACAATGCCGCGCTAAACGCTAAACACCAACAATGCTGCACAAATACGACATTATATATAAGGCATGTCGTCTGAATTAACTTTCAATGTCTAGGCTCTTAAAGCATTCTTAAATTTAAGCACATGGTAGCGCACGGCAGCTCTGTTTTAAGAACAGTGTAAGTACCAAAGTCTCACAGTTTATGTGATAGTGATGTGATCGAGCAGCGGGGCTACAGGCAGTCACCCAAACGCTGGAAAGGAAGAACCCTTGCAAGGCTTCTTCATGGCACAAACACACAATTTAATTACGTATTTATAGGTGTGAAGAACACTAGGCGTCTAGAAGCACCTTTACATGAGACACGACCGGCCGTAACGAAAACCACAGAGACAGAGCACCCCTGCGCACATGCGATGCACTTTTTATACCCCTCGGTTCGTGCACGCGCTTCTCCTGAAACGCTGACTGCGTGTCACCGCGTTCGTGTGCGACGCCGACAGCATGTCACTGGCACACTGGTCTGCATTCCTTGCAGTGCACTTGGGAGTGTTCCCATGCTCCTGTGGGATGCAGACAGCGTTCTCGTCGACGAGCACCTCTTGAGGAGCTGATGGGTGTCTCTTGCACTGTCAGTCCCCAGTCATGACAATAGTAATATTTCTATGTAGTGCTATCACGGTCATATAAACGCAACTACGGATCCTCACATGATCAAAAAACTACAGTGCCGTATGTACGCCTGCCAACAGTGCGCAAGTGCATGACCTAAAGCCTGTTTTTTTTTTACAACCAAGTCACTATAAAAGGCTGCATTCACACAGCATTTAATATAAGTGCTCATGTTCTGGAGGATGCCAAGAGCATTTTGCGATGTGCTTGAAACAGCGGCATCTACTCTGAATGGCAGGTATGACAAATATAAACAGCACTCTGGAAAGTTGCACTCACCGATCTTATTACAATGCATTAGCAGCCAAGAAAAACCAAATGCTTTCGTAAGTCGTTTCAGGCACACGTACAAACAGTTACACTAGCGTTGACTGACCGGACAAACCACACTTTGAGAACGTACATCACATAAGCGCACATAGAAACACGACTTGGCTAGAAGACTACGCAAGGAGCAATCCTCACTTCACCCTTCGGACAGTTGCCGCCAGACGGCGACTCTGCTCGATCTCGCGACCTATACCTGTTTCCCGTTGTAGTTGAGTAAGTAGTGTGGAACCGCTGCAGGGCATAGGTGTTTCGTGCCTGCTGCTCGTTGGCGAAGGGAGGTCAGTTAGCCGGTGCGGACCGAAGCACAGCTCGGTAGTTGTCCATGTTCACCGCGTTGATAGATGGTGGGAACGAGGCAGGAGGTAGTCCAGGCTGGTTGCCTCGGTAGTAGTCATCACTGCTGGAATGGCTTATTTCACGGCACCAGAGAAGCTCTTCCCGAAATATCTGTCATATTGTCGATGACAGGTCAGATGGAGGGTTGGCGTCGACGCTATCTACTGTCGGCACGTTAGCCATGCGGCCCATATTTCGGCGCTATACGACGCATCTTCAGTGCTTCAAAGGTATGGCAGTGCTTCATGATGTCGGCCACAGATGACAGGTTTTCTTTGGTGATCAAGAATTGGTACACATCCTCTGCTGTGCCTTTAATAAAATAGCCAACTTTGTCTTCTTCAGACATACCAAGATTAACAAGTTTACAAAGCTTTTAGAATCTCCTCGATGTATGTGGCGCAAGTTTGACCAGGCCGCTGAGCCCTTTGAGAGATGGTGTGTTCAGCCTGCTTCTTTCTCATTGTGATATCGTCAAAGCACTTTTTCAATGCGTCTACAAACATATCCCATGTGGTGAGCATATCTTCGTGGTTGTTGTACCAGAGGAGGGCAGTGTTGGTGAGAAAGAGCACGACATACGATATCTGAGCGACGGAGTTCCAGCTGCAAGTTCCCTAACCCGCTTGCACTGCTTCAACCACCCGTCCACGTCTTACTCGCCAGTCCCACCAAATCTTGGCGGCTCCTTGTAAGAATGGGAAGAAGCCAGCGTCCTCGGGAAATCGGTTTTTCTAACTAAGCCTATGGAAGCTTAGTTAGGAATCGGGCTAGTTGGTTTTCAATCAACCTGAATTGTCCTTCATAAATCAAAATACATCTCAGACGGCAAAGAAGCACACACGTGCAGCGCTGCTCATTTCTCCCTATTTCTCTTTCTCTCACCAAGTATGAGCTCACAGAGATGTATACGTGCAAAAACTACTGAACACCGTTAAGCCGCATGTGAAAATATTTTATTGAACTTATAATTCATCTCGCCAGCTGCTATATGTGGCCGCTGTTTATGCGATTGGCAACTAGCCTACTCAATTACATTTTCAAGGAGATGCTTTCCGGCTTCGTGACGCCATATAACAAGCAGACAATTTTGTGGCACACAAAAAATGTTAAATGCAGAAGAACCATTGTAAAACAGTATGCCGTATCGAAAATAATTTATTCTCTTATATTTTACATGGTCGTGCAGGGCTGGTGATTAAGCGATGGGTCATTTTCACGTCATTTATTGGCTCGCATAACAAGCTGGTGCAGTGTGCATGACAAAGACCATTTACACCAATATTCCCTCAAGGTTCCCCTCAAGCTCAGTGCAGCTTTTTGCCTGGTCTCCACCATATTTTGTTGCGCAATAAACTCAATTGAACTCAATATACAGCTAACAACCATTTTGAAAGGAAGCAATGAAGATTAGCATAACGTTATATTTGCCCACATTCTGTTCTTTCAAAAAAATTTTGTCTACATCATTTGTGTTGGTGTATTTACAAAGGTGCCTGAAAGCCCGATAAAAAATTTTTGATACAAATATAATGAATGTAGACAATGTACTACGTCCCTAACACCACAAATGATACATTTTTAAAGAAAATGGTTCAGAAGTTGATAATAGGTTAATAACAGTAATATTACAATAGCAATATTATGAATAATTGCACATTCCAGGTATACTAATCAGACTAACAGCAAATGAGTCAAATTATAATACACGCATGCCTGAATATCTGCAAGAAAGTGTAATACTTATAAAAAAACATAACAGTAATCATTCCTTGAAAAAAACATGGTTGATTCCTCCATCACAGGAATCGACATATAACACTAAAGTAAAACGCTCCTTTACAGGGATAATCAAATGTTTACTGTACATTGATAAAGGAGGGTTTGCCTAATGTATGTTTCGGTGCTCGGCAGCTATAGCCCCATTCAATGCAGGTGTATCCTCGTTGACGCTTGGTACATCTTCATGCCAAAGACTATTATTCATGATAAATTTATTAAATTTTTGTGGTAGCTGTAGATGTTAACTGCCAAAGCATTATCTGCTAACGAGGCATGATAGCAATATGAGCGTCGCATATTTGTCGGGGAAATTGGGCAAAGGGAGCCATTCCTCAGCCTGTTAAAATGTGATTGAACTTCATGGTATCTAAGAATGCATTGTGTCATATCTTTGTATGCAAATTTATATTGAAGTGTGAGCACGTCGATAAAGTTCTCTTTCCTGATACATGTGTGTGTGTGTGTGTGTGCACGTATGTGTGTGTGTGAGAGAAAGAGAGAGAGAAAGAGTTGGTATGCCACTGTATAAAGGTGTTTGCATTTACATCTTGACCTTGTTCACACAAAACTACTGGCAAGTCTGCTGTTGGCCATGTACAGACGCAAGTGACTTGTACTTTTCCAAGGTGGCTTAAGACAAGAAACCTGCAAAAAAACAGTTAGAACAGGAACCGATGAAAACAGTCAAAACACAGAATCAGATTTCAGCACCAGGCAATGCAGAACGGTTACAACAGACATTCAGTTACTACATACCCATTGGTGGCATAATGCCGACCTCCTTACTTGTTCTATTGGTTGAACTTTGCTTACTATGGATTCTGGTAACTGTAAGCTTGTGGCATACTGCTGAAACTTATCACATGCCCAGGTCTCTGCAAGATGCAAGACCTTTCTCAATTTGTCTGTACTTCCTTTACGTTTCTGACAGACTATGGCAGGCGTACGACAACAGATCTGTGGACTCTATCTTTCTGCCACTGTCCCAGAATAGCACCGAAGCCAAACAATGAGACCATCCACAGAAACTATCACTGGATTCTCCGGATCGCACTCTGACAGAACTGAGCTTTCATAATTGTTCAAAACCTTTCTGTTTGATTGAGGTCCATACTCACCCACGTTCCCCATTTAGAAGAGTGTTCATGGCATGGGCTATTTCCCGCATGTACGGGACAAACTTCATCTTGTCATTTGCCATTCCCATAAACCTTCTCAGCTCCTGATTGTTTGAAGGGGGTCTGACATGTCAATAATAGCCTGCACTTTTCAAGGGCCAAGCCTGAATTCGTTTATTATCAACAGCTGTGTCCCCAAGAACTTCACCTTTTGTACATTGAATTCACACTTTATCGCAGTTCATTGTGACACCATGTTTCTGTAATGTTTCCGAGACGGGCACTGAACTCTGCTTGCGTCCCGCCACAGATCAGGATGTCATCTATATTACATACAACGCCTTTCCAAGTACCCAGAAACTGTGGCATCTTCCTTTGGAAGAACTCAGGCATAGAAGTGATTCCAAAAGATAGTCCTTTTAACAGGTACCTGCCAATTGGCATTAAAAACGGGGTAAAAATTTGATACTCCTTCGGCAAATCAAGCTGGCAGAATCCTCAATTGGTGTCGAAATTAGAAAACTAATGAGCTCCGACAAGTTGCACAAGCCGATCCTCCCTCACAGGCAGAGGCTTCAACTCTCGCCCTACATACTTGTCTAGCTCTGTCAGATCCACGCGTATAAGCACACCTTCATTTCTCATGTGTTAGGTTCTTGATCTTAAATACTGCCACTGAGAAATCGTTTCAGTGGTTGAATAAATGAAACTGCGTGGAGTAAAAAAAAATCCTTTGTTATTATGCATTATGAAAAGTAAATGAAGAAAGAAAGTTTCATACAAGAAGGAAAAGAAAAAGGGTCACTGCACAAACAGATTGTCCAAGAGCGCAGATTAATTAAGCTAAGTAAGTTGGCGTACGAAAAACTACAAAGAAAAGTTCCCCTCCCAGTTTGAGAGAGGTCATGATGTCATGCTGCGGTAAAGCATCAGTGATGTCGAGGTCGATAGATCGGCAAAGACCTTGAGGAGGGCAGGCGCTTGTAGGAGACAGGGTCACGGTGTCACTCGCCAAGTGCACACTGGAAACCACTGCCACAGCAACGTGGCACAACAGGTGTCGTCCTTGTGGGATGACGAGGTTCCTCACCAGGTCTACGGGCTCAGGTTCGGAACCCCAACAGCCTTGACACTGCCCCAAGCAGCTCGGCACGTACGTATTCCCTTGGGAGTTCCAAGAACAAGCCCCTTCTTCTTTCTCTTTCTCCTTGCTTTGCCATATCCGACACATTTTCTTTAACTGGTCTTCCTTTTTTTCCCATTCGGATAAACTTCATGTGGTTTAAGTTTCATGAGTTTCACTGACATAAGGAACACATCACTCTAGTTCAAATGTGGTGTCCATAAAGTCCACTACTCATCACACCATTAGGCTTCTGCACAGTGACCATTCTAGAAGACTGCTGAGTTGGCTTCTCAACTGCCTTAATGACTTCAACTCCTCAGCACACGTACGAAGTGCCGCACATGGGAAACACATAGGCAGAAATGGCCGACGCGCCATGCCGACGCACGTAGGGGCGGCCATTTGGATTTGCCGATGGCAATAGATTGACCGTAATTTTTTTGTTCGTACTCGATTCTAACGCGCATGCAATTTATAAACTCGCTTAACCGGAAAAAAGGTGCGCGTTAGATTCGAGTAATTACGGTATGCGTGGAGAGAGGGACAAAAGACGCTTTACCCTTTTGCTCGCGCAGCCGTCGTTGGTGTGTGTATGCGTGCATGCTTCTGTGCGTGTGTAGGTGCGTGCCCAGAAAAGTGCGCGTCGTGGCTTCATCCCATTGGCGTACACACTAGAGGTGCTTGGGGCCCTGACCTGCTGACGTCACACAGTCCAGCTGTGCTCTGCTTTCAGCCATCGCCGAGAAGCCATGCTGCCTTTCCACCATGGCTACTGCGCGAGGCCAGCAGGCAGCAGCTATATGCTGCCGGCCAATGCCAGGGCGCCTCGCAGCCAATTCCGGTTCAGCCTCCCTGCTCCCTGGAGAGGCCCGGCCTCCCAGCGAGGTTCCCCTGTCTTCGTTGAAAACTTCGGGGCCTCCGAATCACCACTGAAGCGGCATTTGTAGGACACGCTTATTAATCACCAAGAGCAGCCACGAGCTATCAGAAAGCCCCCTTCTGTTCCTCTGACCTCGCACTCGAGCAACGCATCCAGCGAATAGTACCACGCTCTTCCGCCCCTTGTGCGGTAGACGCAATCCCGCCTTAGCACGACGTACACTATCCTTATGTCCTTGTGCTCCCTTTTACAAATATTTTTATAGTGTCATGTGTTTACTTTGTTATTAATTTTTCTCCCTTGTCATCATTTTTTAACAACAGTTTAAGGGCTGGACTGAAGTTAGCTGTTGCTCATAGCAGTGTCATTTTAACTGCATAGGTGACATCGGGCTGCCTTTGCTGACCGGTAAAGCGGAAATTTAGGAGAGGAGGATGTGAGAATTGAGGCCAGCCTGCCACCTTTGCGCAGGCTTTTCAACCTCTTTCTCTGTTCTCATGTCCTGACATGACTCTCCCCTCCTCCCAGGTCTGCTGCGCTGGGAGAGCTAGGAGTGGCGTTTAACCGCTCTCACCCGGTAGCGGATGTCGACTGTGGAGTCGTGCGCAAAGTCTCTCGGCACGTTTCGCGCGCGCGTCGGGATTGGGAAAGATTTTTCCGAGGACGACTTAGGGTAAGCACGCTTTTCTTTTCCGTCTGTCGGCTCTCTTTCTTTGGGGCTCAATCTGACATTGCCAACAGTGCCTCGCGCCCACGGCAAAAACTTACCTCATGTCGCCCCCCCTTCCAAACGCTACGCCGAAGAGCGGTGCTGTGTCCTAGTGCATGGCCAGGCTGCGCCGAGCCGTATCTTTCCAAAGCCGATGTGAGCACCTTTGCCCTCGCTCGAGTAACTGGGCCTTTGTCCTGGTGTCTCTGTGAATCACTTTTATCACGCAGATATGCTCGCGGCACCCCTGTATAGTATGTCTCGCCCGTGGGGTGGATAAGCCCATTTGCCTTGTAACAGGCTCTGTACTGTGTTTCGGTGTTGTCGCAGACAGTAAAGTATTGCGACCTTGAGCCGTACCGTGTTCTAGCCACGGCGACGGTTAACGCGTCCCTTGCGGCTCGCTAAGACCCGACCCACGCTAGTGACCGTTAATAGGATCGGCACTTCAGCCAAGCAAAAAGGGCTGTACGTGGTTCTGCGAACAAGTTGCCAAAAGAAAGTAGGCCTGCTGACAGCCGTCCAAATATGAGTAATATTCTCCCAACCGGGGAGTGAGGGGCATAATGTTGCGACGATGCGCTGCAAAGTGTACAACGACAAGAGAGACAGCCTCCTGGAAGAGAAGGCAGCGACAGCATGGATTACCTTCAGCTCTGCAGATTGAGTGTGACGAGCGGGGGTCCTTTGATGTTTCCGGCAGTGCGAGGATGGGTGGCCCATCATGAAGCGGCATCATCATTCCAAGAAAGAGACGACCAGGCGCCAGAGGGGAAGTGTGGTTACTATGGCCCCGGTCAAAGACGTTGTCCCAAGTGGGTGTGGGCGGCACCGTCGACAGTGATGTGTGTGCGGAAAAAAAGACTTGATAACCAACGGCAGTGAGCTCCTGAGAGAGCCTTTGAGGAGATCGTTGCAATGTAAGACGACATCATTGTCTAGATGTTCGCCTTGTGGCAAGAAACGCTTGCAGAATAAACCTCTGTACGATTTTCCTCATCAGTCTCTTCATGCTCGTTGTCTTCCTCCCGAGTTCCTCGGTGCCGATAACGGCGAAGCCCCAAGACCTCAACAACGGATAGCAGCGGTGGGATCCTGGTCAACCCACGGTTCCAATAACTGGTAGCAATTAACGGTGGGATCTTTATAACGCCAACTTTAATACCATAATACTTCGGGATACGTGTACACTACACTGGCGCCCAACCTGGTATCAAAAGCTCTAAGCTTTTGACTGCTCTTAGCGAGTCAGTTCACGTGCCCGATTCGGGCTCATCACAACAATCCTGCTTCGTGGCATTTTTGTCCGCTGACTTTTTTAGGCGGATGCTGCATTGCACAAAGAGGCCATTGCCTCTATCAACGGGCACCCTTCGGCACCCGTCCGTGTCGTCACACACTTTTGTGGTGAACACACAACCAACGTGGTAGCTGACATGCTATCTCGTGCCCCCTGTTGTTTGCCGAGAATCTTGATTCCGGTACGACGGCCGCTCGCGGTGCCTTAGCACATGCAGGTGTCGGGGGTGAAACAGCGGCGACAAGGGGGAGTCCCCATGAGGACGACCTTTTCTGCAGTTCAAGTAAGCGGATGCACCGCAAAGCGGCCAAGCGGTGGAGCTTTCCCAAGGCCACGATGCCAAGAGTGAACCCCTGACACTGTGTGCGTGGCGGCTGCTGCAGTCCTGAATGGGCGCGATACCAGAGCCCTACCCCCCGCCCCCCGCTTTGGTAGAATGGGAATCCCTTTCAGTAGCGAAGAGCTACTGAGAGCTCAGCAGGGTGATCCGTTTCGAATCTCGGAGAGACGGA